CAACCTCCATCTCCAGGGTTCAACTGATTCTCATGCCTCAGCTACCGGAGCAGCTGGGATTACGGGCATGCACCACCACACCCGGCTAATTTTTATATTTTTAGTAGAGATGGGATTTCACCATGTTGGCCAAGCTGGTCTTGAACTCCTGACCTCAAATGATCCGCCTGCCTCGGCCTCCCGGAGTGCTGGGATTACAGGTGTGAGCCACCGTGCCTGGCCAATAAAGTGCTTTTCGGTTACAAGTCATGGGATCCCACTCAAGTCCACTTTAGCAAAAGGGGGATTTTAAATGAACTTTTCTCCCTTGTCGCCTTCCTTTTGGGGACACTGGAGGATAGAGACTCTTCTCAGGCTCTGCATTGTGGGATCCCCACAGAACCCCAGACCCTCACTCCAGCTCCTCCTGAGATCCAAGGCATATCTACAAGGAACTGCTTGAGTCCACAAAGGGCAGCAGTGAGCCTCTGGTCTTCCTCGGCTTTGTTTGGTGAACTTGAATCAGTGAGGTTGCCAGGCATGCTGGTACACGCCTATAATCCCAGCTACTCAGGAGGCTGAGGCAGGAGGATTGTTGGTGCCCAGGAGCTCTAGGATGTCGTGAGCTATGCTGACTGTATTTCCACACTAAGTTTGGCATTAATTTGGTGACCTCCCAAGAGTAGGGGACCACCGCCAGGCTGGAAATGGAGCAGGTCAAAACTCCTGTGCTAGGCCAGGCATGGTGGCTCAGCACTCTGGGAGGCCAAGGCAGGTGGATCACTTGAGGTCAAGAGTTCAAGACAAGCCTGGTCAACATGGTGAAACCATGTCTCTACTAAAAATACAAACACTAGCCAGGCGTGGTGGTGGGCATCTGAGGCAGGAGCAAGTAGGCCGAGGCAGGAGAATTGCTTGAACCCAGGAAGCAGAGGTTGCAGCAAGCTGAGACAGAGCCACTGTGTTCCAGCCTGTGTGACACAGTGAGACTCCATCTCAAAAAAAAAAAAAATTACAAAAATTAGCCAGGCATGGTAGAGTGTGCCTATTGTCCCAGCTACTCAGGAGGTTGAGGTGGGAGGATTGCCTAAGCCTGGGAAGTAGAGGCAGCAGTAAGCCCTGACTGTGTCACTGCACTCCAGCCTAGGCAATAGAGACCCTGTCTCCAAAAAAAAGAAAGAAAAGCCCCAAGTGACAGTCACCAAGGCTCAGTAACACCATGCTGAGCAAGACAGTTTCCCCAAAGAGCTTCCAAAGAAATAACTACGCACAGCATGACACTTCCAAAAAGCCAGATAAAGATATATGTGAAAATACGCACTTGTCTAGACAGTAGTTTAAAATATCATACAACGAAGACAGGGAGGAAATATTCCAGCACTACAGCCAGGCCTTTCCTAATCCACGCCTGCTCTGCGTCCTGTACTTTTCCGCTGCGACACTCACCACCACAGTAATTCATATGCACTCGCCCAGTGAATGCCCATCTCTCACACTCTAATTTAAGCTCCATGAGGAGAAAGATGGTGATCTAGGGCCGAACGTGGCGGCTCACGCCTGTAATCCCAGCACTTTGGGAGGCTAAGGCAGGAAGATCACTCGAGGCCAGGGGTTCAAGATCAACCTGGTCAACATTTATTATTTCTACAGAAAAATAAAAACCAGCCAGGCATGGCAGCATAGGCTGCAGTCCCAGCTACTTGGGAGGCTGAGGCAGAAAAACTGCTTGAGCCTAGAGGTTTGAGGCTGCAGTAAGCCGTGTTCAGGTCACCGCCCTCTAGCTCAGCCTGGGGGACAGCGCAAGACCTATTTAAGAAAAAAAAAAAAGATAGTAATGTATGTTCCTATTTCTTGGTGAATCCCCACATCAAGCAAAGTATCTTGCATACAGCAGCCTTTAATAATGGTTGTGGGGCCGGGCGCGGTGGCTCATGCCTGTAATCACAGTACTTTGGGAGGCTGAGGCGGGTGGATCACAAGGTCAAGAGATCGAGACCATCCTGGTCAACATGGTGAAACCCCGTCTCTACTAAAATTACAAAAAATTAGCTGGGCATGGTGGCGTGTGCCTGTAATCCCAGCTACTCAGGAGGCTGAGGGAGGAGAAATGCCTGAACCCAGGAGGTGGAGGTTGCGGTGAGCTAAGATCACGCCATTGCACTCCAGCCTGGGTAACAAGAGCGAAACTCCGTCTCAAAAAATAATAATAATAATAATGGTTAAAAAAATAATAATGGTTGTGAAATGAACAGATGACAATGAATGTCTCTGGCGAATTTTATGACATTTTTATTTAAAAAGAGCTATACTCTCTAATTTTTTTAATAACGAACTTTTTGACTTCTAAAATCTAAAGTAAGAAGGTTGTGGTAAAGAAGTATGAATCACAAAAGTAATCATAAAAACTGGAAAAGATGTCAAGAAACTTAGTTTCTTTCTGGAGGCTGAGGCAGGTGGATCACTTGAGGCCAGAAGTTCGAGACCAGCCTGGCCAACATGGTGAAACCCTGTCTCTACTAAAAATACAAACAAATTAGCTGGGCATGGTGACTAGCACCTGTAATCCCAGCTATTCGGGAGGCTGAGGCAAACTGCTTGAACACAGAAGGCAGAGGTTGTAGTGAGTCGAGATTTGGCACTGCACGCCAGCCTAATCGAGAGAGTGAGTTTCTGTCTCAAAAGAAAAGAAATCTAGTTTCTGTTGGAAGAGCTTGGCCTGGGCAAAATGAAAGTCAATTCCGGGCCAAGCATAGAGGCTCACGCCTATAAACCCAACACCTTGGGAAGCCGAGGTGGTCGGATCACCTGAGGTTGAGAGTTTAAGACCAGCCTGGCCAACATGGGTGAAACCCCATCTCTATAAAAATAGAAAAAAATTAGCCAGGCGTGGTGGCACACGCCTGCAATCCCAGCTACTCAGGAGGCTGAGGCAGGAGAATCACTTGAACCCGGGAGGTGGAGGTTGCTGTCAGGCGAGATCATGCCCTGTACTCCAGTCTGGGCCACAGAGCAAGACTCTGTCTCAAAATAATTAATAAATAAAAATAAAAATAAATGAAAGTCAATTCTAGTGTCCCTGAGAGGCAGCTGAAAACCTGAAGCCACACTCAGCCCACCTGACTTCTCCTTCAGTTCAAATCCTCGGCCACCTCACATACCTGAGTAAAGTCACCCCACAGGATAAGAGAAGTGGATGCCCATTTGAGAGAGTAGGGGATGGCCAGGCACGGTGGCTCACACCTGTAATCCCAGCACTTTGGGAGGCTGAGGCTGGTGGATCACAAGGTCAAGAGGTTGAGACCATCCTAGCCAACATGGTGAAACCCTGTCTCTACTAAAAGCACAAAAATTAGCTGAGCATGGTGGCACGCACCTGTAGTCCCAGCTACTTGGAAGGCTGAGGCAGAAGAATTGCTTGAATCCCAGAGGCAGAGGTTGCAGTGAGCCAAGATTGCGCCACTGCACTCCAGCCTGACGACAGACCAAGACTCTGTCTCAACAACAAAAAAAAAAGAGAGAGAGAGTAGGGGACAACAGACAAAAAGAAGGCAAAAGACTCCTCAAGCGGAGGCCACAGACGACACAAGTGAACCCAGGACACTGTGTCCCAAGTGCTGTCTACATAGGATGCCTGCCAAGTTCACTGACCCAAGAACTGGAAAGACCCACAATGCGGGGCCCGTCCTCCATCCAGGCAGATGCCCCCACCATGACAGGCAACAGTGTCTCCTGCCTGTTTCTCTTATTCCTGTTACCTGGCTGCCCCTGGAGGCTTCTGAGGTTGTGGCCTCTACCAGAAAAGTCCTTTCATCACAGTGTTTTCCCTTTGGAAAAACCTTTCAAAGCAGTGTATGAATTTGTTTACTCGGTCCCTTATTCCATGAGGGTGAGCACCCACCTCCCAGACAGACCAGAACTCAAGGAGCAACTAATTTCAGCCCTGGAGAAGACCCCCATAGGCAAGAGAGAAACAAGAGAGACAAAGGTGAGCACCACAGCCTGAGACCGAGTATCACTGGGGTGCTCCATGAAAGGGCACAATTAGTCACAGGTGGGGCCAGGAGTTCAGAGAAAGGATTATAGTCTGGGTTGCAGTCCCAAGGGGCTTCCTGGAGGGAGAGGCTTATGGGGGCCCCTCGATGCTTACTCACAGACCAAGCGTACTGCTGGAAGTTTGGTAAGCTGGGCCTTAGTCTACCACGTGTTTGGAACCATTCATGCCTCAGGACAACCCCTGAGGCTCAGTGCACTTACGATGCCATGGATTTGGGCCACCTTGCTGCACAAGTCGGGACGCCACTTTTGCAGAGCCAGATAGAAAGGATTTTTCAGGAGGTCTTCATCATACAGAGCCATATGGACTTCCGAGGGGTCAGAGCAAATCTCCTGCAACAAGGGAGGGGAAAGCAGTGAATGGCCATTTGCAAGTTTACGTAACATAGGAAAGTCTGCATCTGGCGTTTTCTTCTTTTTTGAGACGGAGTCTTACTCTGTCACCCAGGCTGGAGTGCAGTGGCGTGATCTCGACTCACTGCAACCTCCAACTCACGGGTTCAAGCGATTCTCCTGGCTCAGCCTCGGGAGTAGCTGGGATTATAGGTGTGGCCACCACATCTGCTAATTTTTTTTATTTTTAGTAAAGTCAGATTTTTCCATGGTGGCCAGACTGGTCTTGAACTCCTGACCTCAGGTGATCTGCGCACCTCGGCCTCCCAAAGTGCTGACATTACAGGCATGAGTCATCGCACCCAGCCTGCATCTGACAATTTCTAAAGAGCATCCTCAAAAAAAAACAAAAGGATTCATGACATGCAATTTTCTTCTCCCACAGACTCACTCCACCAGGAAATCTCAAATATAACCCAACACTTCCAAGATGACCTATTTATTGGCTAATGTATAAATTATGTTCAGAAAATCTTGTTAAATTCCTGGCTAAAGTATAAATGACTATTTTTAGAACATCCTACATGACCAAAATTGTGACATTCTCAAGATACTCATGTATTTTCAATGAAATATTTTAGTACAAGGTAAAGTACTGAGTAATAATGCAAACCTAGACCAGAATTAAGGAATCGTCACGTATTGCAATGTTTGCCTCAGATTTTCTTTTAAGAAATAAACTAGAAGCCAGGTGTGGTGGTTCATGCCTGTCATCTCAGCACTTTGGGAAACTGAGGCAGGAGGACTCCCATGAGCCCAGGAGTTCAAGACCAGACTGGGGAATACAGCAAAACCCCCGTCTCTACAAAAATAAAACAATTATCTGGGTGAGGTGCCATATGCCTGTAGTCCCAGCTACTCAGAAGGCTGAGGTAGGAGGACTGCTTGAGCCCAGGAGTTGGAGACCAGCCTGGATAATATGGCAAGGTACTATCTCCATAAAAATTAAAATAATAAAATTTCTGTTAGTCGAGCAACACGGAGGAAACCGGAGTGAACCGAGAGCTTAGTGACCAACATGAGCCTCTTCAACAAGCGCAAGAGTCAGATGACCCCAGAGGAGCTGCAGAAGCGAGAGGAGGAGGAATTTAACACGGGTCCACTCTCTGTGCTCACTCATTCTGTCAAGAACAACACCCAAGTGCTCATCAACTGCTGCAGCAATGAGAAACTCCTGGGCCGCGTGAAAGCCTTTCACAGGCACTGCAACACGGTGCTGGAGAACGTGAAGGAGATGTGGACAGAGGTACCCAAGAGCGGCCAGGGCAAGAAGAAGGCCAAGCCAGTCAACAAACACCGCTACATCTCCAAGATATTCCTGCCTGGGGACTCAGTCATCGTGGTCCTGAGGAATCTGCTTATCGCCGGCAAGTAGGAGCCACCTATGCCTATCAGTCAACAGAACTCACTCCCCTGTCCTACAGAGATCGCTGCTGCTGGTGTTGAGAATAATAAAGCTCTGTGTTTTTCTCTAGTGGTTAAAAAAAAAAAAAAAATTCTGTTAGTCTGCACTATCATCTAGATGTTTATGTCCTCCCAAATCTCATATATTGAAATCCTAACCCGCTAGGTGGGACCTTTGGGGGGTGACTAGGTACAAAGGTAGAGCCTTCATGAATAAGATCAGTGCCCTTCATGGATGACATCAGTGCCCTTATGTGGCTGGGCACTGTGGCTCAGGCCTATAATCCCAGCACTTTTGAAGGCCAAGGTGGGTGGATCGCCTGAGATTTCAAAGAATTCAAGACCAGCATGGTGAAACCTCGTCTCTACTAAAAATACAAAAATTAGCTGGGCGTGGTGATGCTCATCTGTAATTCCAGCTACTCAGGAGGTTGAGTCAGGAAAATCACTTGAACCCAGGTGGCAGAGGTTGCAGTGAGCTGAGATCATGCTACTGCACTCCAGCCTGGGTGACAGAGGGAGACTCCGTCTCAAAAAAAAAAAAGAAAGAAAGAGGCCTGGGAGAGCTCCTTTGCTCCTCGGGTCACGTGAGGTTACAGAGAACAGAGAGCTGACTATGAAGCAGGCCATCCCCAGACACCCAACCTGCAAGATCTTCACCTTGTACTTCCCAGCCTCCAGCACTGTAAGAAACACATTTCTTTCATTTTCAGGCCACCCAGTCTATAGTGTTTTGTTACAGCAGCCTGCACGGGCTGAGATTGTCTGTGAGTATAAAGTCTTATCCCACTGTTTTTAATTTTCATTGGTTCATTAATTAAATGAACTAAATTTCTTTGTTTATGTTATATAACCTGCTTTATCATGTCTTTTGCTAGCTTTCCTACTAAATTGTTGGCCTTTTTCTTAGGATTAATAGTTCTTTACTCATGTGTATACTAAAGTAAGTTCTAAATATCATCTCCCAGACTAGGTGTGGTAGCTCACACCTGTAATCCCAGCATTTCGGGAGGATGAGGTAGGAGGATCGCCTTGAGGTCAAGAGTTCAAGATCAGCCTAGGCAACATAGCGAGATCCCATCTTTACAAAAATTTTTTTTAAAAATTAGCTATGTGTGGTGATGCGTGTCTATAATCCCACCTACTCAGGGGCTGCAGCAGGAGAATCACGTGGGCCCAGGAGATTGAGGCCACTATGAGCCATGATCACGCCATTGCACTCTACCCTGCATGATGGAGTGAGATGCTGTCTAAATATATACATATACATATATATATACATACACACACACACATACATATACACTCACACCATCTCCTAGTCTGTAATTTGCTTTTTCATTTTGTCAAATGGGTGCTTTCAGAAATAGAAGTTTGCCTGTTATTTACCTATTTTGAGACGAGATTTCACACTGTCACCCAACCTAGAGCTGCAGTGCAGTGGCATGATCGTAGCTCACTATAACCTTGAACTCCTGGGCTCAAGTTGTGTCCCACCCCCCACCTCAGCCTCCAGGGCAGCTGGGACTACAGGCATGCGCCACCACACCCAGCTATTTTGTTATTTTTTGTAGAGACGGGATTTTGCTGTGTTGCCCATGCTGAACTTGAACTCTTGGCCTGATGCAACCCTCCCACCTCGGCCTCCCAAAACGCTGGGATTACAGGTGTGAGTCACTGTGCCTGGCCAGAAGTTTTGATGTAAATGGACAGTCATCCCTCAGTGTACTCGTGGGATTTGGTTCTGGGACCCCCTTGTATACTCAAGTCCACGCAGACTCAAATCCCACAGTTGGGCCTGTGGAACTCACACATCTATGTCAGCCCTCCACGTACACAAATTTGCATCCTGTGAATATGGTATTTTCAACCTGAGGTTGGTCGAAAAAAACACATGTAAGTGGACCCACATAGTTCAAACTCGTATTGTTCAAGGGTCAATAATAATCAGATTTGACATTCTTTACCTTTAAGGTCAGTGCTTTCTGGGCCTTAGGAAATCTGTAATGGGCATGTCTATCCTCTGGCAGGTCTTTTGCAAAGTGACTTCACTATTCCCCCATCAGAAAATAGAGTAGGCCGGGCACAGTGGCTCACGCCTTTGGGAGGCTGAGGCAGGCAGATCACTTGAGATAAGGAGTTCAAGACCAGCCTGGACAACATGGTGAAACCCCATCTCTACAAAAATACAAAAATTATCTAGACATGGTGGCATGCACCTGTAATCCCAGCTACTTGGGAGGCTGAGGCCGGAGAATTGCTTGAACCCAGGAGGCAGAGGTTTCAGGGAGCCGAGATCACACAACCGCACTCCAGCCCAGGTGACAAAGCAAGAGTCTGTCTCAAAAAAAAAAAAAAAAGTCTTAGTACACTCAAGGAATAAGAAAAGTAAATGAATATACATACATATACACATATGTAAGGCCTTGCAGATTCCACACATCCTCTTGGTACCCAAGATCCCAATGCTGTGAAGAAGCCCACACAATGAAAGGCCACGGGGTCTGAAGAGCAAGGCCCAGGTGGCCCAGCGAGCACAGCCAACCCACCAGCAGAATACAGCCCCTTGAGGGAGCCCAGGTGAGACCAGCAGAGGAACTACCCACTCAGCTCACACGATGTGGGAAGTAATGAACCGTGGCAATCTGAAGTCAGTACATTTTGGGCTGGTTAGTTTTACAGCAAAGGCTACCTGAAACCATGTCCTTTCCAATTTCAAAGCCATAAAAATCATCCTCATGAGTTCTAAAAATATTAAAGTTTTCTATTTTTAGGTCTTCAATCCATTTGGAATTTATTTTTGTACATGCTATCAATCGAGCATCTAATTACACTTCTCCATATAGTAAGCCAAGAGTGTCGTCATCACTGTTTGAACGTTCTATCCCTTTCACGCAGGTTATCATGCTACCATTGTCATACTTCAAGATCCCACGTATGTTTAGCCTGTTTCCAGGCTCTACTGTGTTTCAAGGGTCTCACTGTCACATGTGAGAAATACGATTATGTATATATTACATAGAAATAAATGTCATTTTAAATTTTCTAGTACCACATAAAAAATAGGCTGCAATTAATTTTAATAATATATTTTACCTTGATATATCCAAAATATTATATTTTAAACATGTGACCATTGTTTGTTTTGTTTTTTAGAGATGGGGTCTTGCTATGTTGCCCACGCTGGAGTGCAATGGCTATTTGGAGGCACGATCTCAGCTCACTGCAGCCCTGAACTCCCAGCCTCAAGCAATCCTCCCATTTCAGCCTCCCAAGTAGCGGGAACAATAGGTATATGTCAATGCACTTGACTTGATCTTTTCTTTTCTTTCTGAGATGAAGTCTTGCTCTGTGCCCCAGGCTGGAATGCAATGGCATGATCTCGGCTCACTGCAACCTCTGCCTCCTGAGTAGCTGGGAGGCTAATTTTTTTGTATTTTTGTAAAGACAGGGTTTCACCATATTGGCCAGGCTGGTCTCAAACTCCTGACCGTAAGTGGTCCACCCACCTTGGCCTCCCAAAGTGCCAGGATTACAAGTGTGAGTCGCTGCACCTAGCCTGACTTGATCATTATTTAAAAGTTACTGGCTGGGTGCAGAGGCTCATGCCTGTAATCCTGGCACTTTGGAAGGCTAACGCCGGCAGATCACCTGAGGTCAGGAGCTCAAGACCAGCCTGGCCAACATGGTAAAACCCCATCTCTACAAAAGTGCAAAAATTAGCTGGGTATGATGGCAGGTGCCTGTAATCCCAGCTAATTGGGAGGCTAAGGCAGGAGAATTGCTTGAACCCAGGAGGCAGAGGTTGCAGTGAGCCAAGATTGTGCCACTGCACTCCAGCCTGGACAACGGAGCAATCCATCCCCCAAAAATAATAATGATAATGATGGCCAGACACAGTGGCTCATGCCTGAAATCCCAGCACTTTGGAAGACTGAAACAGGTGGACCGCTTGACTCCACAAGTTCAAGACCAACCTGGGCAACATGGCAAAACCCCATCTTTACAAAAATACAAAAATGGAGTGCAATGGCACGATCTCGGCTCACTTGGGAGGCTGAGGCAGGAGAATCACTTAAGTCCAGGAGGCAGAGACTGCAATGAGCTAAGAACAGGCGACTGCACACCAGCCTGGGTGAGAGAGTGAGACTCTTGTCTCAAAAAAAAAAAAATTATTAATGATATATTTTACATTTTTTATTTCTACTAAATCTTTAAAATCCAGTATGCATTTTATATTTACAGAACCTCTCAATTCATACTAGCCACATTTCATGTGCTGAATAGCCACTAGCAGCTATTACACTAGACAGGGCAGGGATAGACCACATATGAACATTTATTTTACATGGCTACAGCTTCATAATAAAGCTTACTATCTCACAGAGAAGGGCTTCCCAGCTGCTTGTTCTCCAAAGGTTATTCCTTGTCCTTTACAATATCAAATGAATCAGAATGAGCTTGTCAATTACATGAAAAATCCTATTAGGATTTTTATTGGACCTCCACTAAATTAATATACTGGAGAGTGAATATCTTTATAATTATGAATTTTTTTTTGAGACAGAGTCTCACTCTCTCACCCACACTGGAGTGCAATGGTGTGATCTCAGCTCTCTGCAACCTCTGCCTCTGGGTTCAAGCAATTCTCCTGCCTCAGCTTCCCAAGTAGCTGGGATTACAGGTGCCTACCTCCACACCCAGCTAATTTTTGTATTTTTAGTAGAGACAAGGTTTCACCATGTTGGCCAGGCTGGTCTTGAACTCCTGACCTCAGATTACAGGTGTGAGCCACCATGCCCAGCCTGAATTTTTTTTTTTTTTTTTTTGAGACAGAGTCTCTGTCGCGCAGGCTGGAGTGCAGTGGCACAGTCTTGGTTCACTGCAACCTCTGTTTCCCAGGTTCAAGCAATTCTCATGCCTCAGCCTCCCAAGTAGCTGGGACTACAGATGCATGCCACAACACCGGCTAATTTTTTGTGTATATTTTTTGGTAGAGAAGGGGTTTCACCATGTTCGCGAGGCGTCTTCAACTCCTGGCTTCAAGTGATCCTCCCACCGTGGCTCCCAAAGTGTTGGAATTACAGGTGTGAGGCACTGCACTCAGCCCTATCATTATGAATTTTA